TGTGGTCTGAATGTGTGAGAGAACTAGACTTTGAGGGGGTTGAGCCTCTAAATGATGCGCCTATTGTTGAGGGAATTGTTACTCTAGGCCAGCAAATGGGCTTGGAATTGGATGGTGATGATGTGGAGGAGTTGGTGGAAGAACACAACGAAGAACTGACCACCGAAAAACTCCAAGCCCTTCAACAGGAACAGCAAGACAACGCAGCTGATGATTTTACAGTGGAGGAGGATGAGGCAGTAGCGAATGTCCCATCTGCAGTAATTAAGAAGGTGTGTCAGATGTGGGAAGAGATTCAAACAATTGTTGAAAAGACTCACCCAGAGAAAGCTGTAGTAGGCCGTTGCCTTAATCTTTTCAATGACAATGTGATGCCTTACTACAGAGACATCTTGCGAAGAAGGGAAAAGCAAGCTTCCATGGACAGATTTGTGGTGAGAAAATCGAGCAGTGAGCCTCAACCAGGACCTAGTGGCACTCAGATAAAACGTGCCAGGAAGAGCACACCAGAAAGGTCCTCACTGCCTGATGTGATAATGGAAGGGGACTCCCCTTCCAAACAGTAACTCCTCTCCTCCTCACCATCTTCCATACGCCTACAGCATTCAACAGCAAGGTAAGTAATAACTTGAACATAGTTTTGTAGGTTTATTTAGATGAATTAAGTATAAAAATTTAGTTTGATGTGGGTTTTTGGGGTAGTCAGGAACGGATTAATTCATTTCCCGTTATTTCTTATGGGGAAATTAGCTTCGGAATACGAGTTTTCGGAATACGAGCCGTCTCCAGGAACGAATTAAACTCTTAAACTGAGGTACCCCTGTATATGGTGTGATTCCCATAGTGTTTCAGTTTTTTTTGAGAGGCCTCATACAGTAGTTTCTGTACTAGTTAGTAATACACTTTCTGCTTGGAGCCCAGTCGGTTCCCTGAAGCTATCCAACCTGATATGTGCTATATTAGTTTGGGGTGGGGACCTTATGCCAAACGGGGACCACAAGCCAGAACCTGGCCCCCGTCAGAGAGGCACAGGGAACAATGGCCTATGAGCATTTTACACTTAAAGTATTGTATGTCATCATTGCCATCGACCGGGGAAGGACCCAGAAAGGCAGGTAAATCAAAACAGACCACTGTCTGGTTAACCTGTGCAATCTACATCTTAAAAGATAAAAATAATTCGAACCCTAGAACAGGGAAGAAGGAAAACTGGGTCAACTCTAAGTGTATCCATGGTCATGAAGGCCGTGACGTGCAGAAAACAACAGAGAGACACAACCGGCCACAACACATGATGCACCCCTGGTCTAACCAACCAAGCATCAACAACCCAAGGACCCCTCTGGAAAGCAGCAATCTCATTCTTCGTCAGAAAAGGAGACAGCTGCAACCGAATAAACCTATCACCAGGATAAAAAAAGCAGAAACCCTTGCGTTGGAGGAGAGCATGAAGCTTCTCGACCCGACCCCCAGAGGCCAAAACCAACAGGAAAAGAATCTTGGAGAAATGAGCTTGAACTGAAGGAACCACTACAAACCGAGTAGAAGAGAGATAAGAGATCACCCGGTCCAAAGACCAGAACAGCTCAGACTGCACATGAGCAGGCTGGAGGTGAAAAAACGCACGAGATCAATGCCGAATGCAAGCTGCAGCGGCTCTGCCAGTGCCACACAATACGAGGCGGCAGTATTTGGCATAAGATGATGGTCTTGAAACAATCATGAGAGAAAGGACAGGACAACCCTATCGGAAACCGAAGTCAACCTACGAAGGGACAAAAAAAAAAAAAAAACAGAAAGACTGCCAAGAAACTTCATACTACCACCGAGACAAAGCATGTAGGTGTAACACCATCAATGAAGCCACCTGCTCACCATACAAGTGGTGATAGACTCGAGTCAGAAAGACCAGAAGCGAAGACTCAAGGAGAAGATCGAACCAGCCACATAATGGACCGGGCCGATCTGCTGAAAGAGGCGGAGCCACAGGAGAACCTGCGGGTTCCGACACGGAACAAGCAGCGCCTGAAACCAAGACTGGGCCGGCCACCAAGGAGCCAGGAGGACTACTCTTCCCTGGTAAATCTCCAAGCGAAGCTAGGACCTGGGGCAACACCTGAACTGGGGGGGGGGGAGATGTACCGGTAACCCCATCTCGACCACTCGTGCTGCAAGGCATCGACCCCAATGGCCTTGCAGTCGGGAAAGGGCGCAATGTACAATGGGAGACGCCTTGACCACGCCGACACAAAGAGGTCCACCTCCGGGAGCCTGTACATCCAGCAGAGCCAATTGAATGAGTCGGCGTTGACGGAGGGGAGCCGGTCGGCCGAGCGGACAGCACACTGGACTTGTGATCCTGTGGTCCCGGGTTCGATCCCAGGCGCCGGTGAGAAACAATGGGCAGAGTTTCTTTCACCCTATGCCCCTGTTACCTTGCAGTAAAATAGGTACCTGGGTGTTAGTCAGCTGTCACGGGCTGCTTCCTAGGGGTGGAGGCCTGGTCAAGGACCGGGCCGCGGGGACACTAAAGCCCCGAAATCATCTCAAGATAACGGGTCCATTCCGTGGACAGGGGAATGAACAGTGACAGGTCGTCCGTCAGGATGTTGGACACCCCCTGAACGTGAACGGCCAGGAGAGTCAAATCCGGAGAACTCGGCAGACGAGTCTCCCAAAGCAACCAGCCCCAAAGAGCCAAGAATCGCAACGAACCCCTGTGGTTCAGGCCATGAATCACCGGGGAGTAATCCAAATGGAGCCAGATCGCCAATCCGCGAGCAACTCGTACCCTCCGAAGCAACATCCACACTGCCGCAAACACCCGCTACCTACACTCTCTTCCTCCTGCAGCGCTGCTCTGGTTGCAGACCAACCTTCAGCTGTTTTTGAGGGAGACCAAACAAACTTTTGAGGGAGACCCATCACTCAGCAGTTGCTCGAGCAGCTGTGTGGGAGCCTGTAGTTTGCCTTGTTGGTTTATCCGCTGGGTAGGGTTTGGCTTCGGGGGCTGTTCTGGTAGCTTCGGGACAGCCTCTTTTATCGCTCTCACGATTGCAGGGGTTGTTCCCCGGTGTCCTTGTGTTGGTTGCTGTGTCACCAGCATTCTCTATAGGTTTTTCGGGGTTTAGTGCCATGGCGCCTTTCTTTTCCCTCGACCGATGTGTTGTCTCATGGTTGGGGCTTTGTGACCAGTGTTCACCAGTCTGGCCAGGGGTGTTGGGGGCTGTCCTTACGTCGGGCTCACAACGCAGTATGGGAGTTTGCGGCGGTGTGGCAGGTGCTGGAGAGGATCCGACTCCATTCGGACTGCTCCCCCATGGTTCGTTGTCTTAACTGAGGTGGGGGTCTCTATGGTCCGTGGCTATTTGGGGCTGGTCGATTCTGGTGGCTTTTCTGCTGAGTTCTTTTGGTTTAGCTCTCTGGCGCTGTTCACATTCAGGGAATGTCCAATGTTCTGGCAAATGGTCTGTGGAGCTTCAACTCCTCTTTGTGGGAGTGGACAGTCAATGCCGGCTCCTTCCTGTGGCTTTGCTGGATGTACGGGCACCCGGGAGTTGACCTCTTCACATCGGCGTGTTCTCTTCACATCGGCGTGTTCTCGGCATCTACCATTGTATGTGGTGTCATCCGTATAGGTTAAGTAATATGCAACCCATTCTCGCACTTGCTTCTAGTCAATATTGGCTTATTTAATAAGTGCATATGTGACATACTAATTGATTGTGAATATTTTAGTTTAACTTGAAAAGCTTCATAGAAAACACCGACCTCACCTAACCTACTTAGTATGTTAAGATAAACATCTTATTGCTTCTTATTTACAATTATTACTTAACCTATCAACGGTATAGGTTAAGTAATAATTGTAATTAAGAAGCAATAAGATGCTTATCTTAACATACTAAGAGGGTTAGGTGAGGTCGGTGATTTCTATGAAGCTTTTCAAGGTAAACTAAAATATTCACAATCAATTAGTATGTCACATATGCACTTATTAAATAAGCCAATATTGACTTTAAGCAAGTGCGAGAACGGGTTGGTCGTTCCCCGACTGAGAGGCCATCGGGGTAGATGCTTTTCGGCAGGACTGGTCGAGGTGGGGGATCCTGTACCTCTTTCCGCCAGTCCAGCTGTTGCTCCAGGTCCTAGCTCGCTTGGAATCCTATTGAGGGAGGGTGCTACTCCTGGCTCCAGGGTAGCACTCCGAGCTTTGATTTCAGGTACTGCTTGCTCGGTGTCCGAACCTGGGTATTTTTCCACGGCTCCATCTTTTTCAGCAGATCAGGCAGTGAGGTACCTTGCTGGTTTGCCTTACTGCTCCACTTTACATGTCTGTTCTTTCTGAAGCATATGTATTGTCATTTGTATGGTGATCAGATGGCATCCCACCTGCGGTCGCCTTCACAGCGGCTGTATGGAGTTTCTTGGTGGTCGTTTTGTCAATTTTTTCTCTTCGTCAATTTTTGTCAATTTTGGACCAGGTTGTTTCATCCTTTCTCTCTCTTGGCTTTTTCTGGATTGCCATTGCATGCTTGATACTGTCGCTTCTTATCGTGCGGCATTGGCAGAGCTGCTGCAGCTTGCGTTCTGGGTGGACGTTACTTCCACTTCATTGCGCAAAGCTTTCTCGTTCGTTTTTTCACATCCAGCCAGCTCATGCGCTGTGCCAAAGCTGTAAATATTAAAACTCGGCTAAATTTTAAAGTCCAATTGGAAAAGATCATCAAGGCAAATGGGGGGACCTTTGATGAGGACCCCCAGCTTCCTGTCATCGTCAAGGCCACTAACTAGTGTTAATGGCCTTCAGGTAATTTCAGGTAAATTGTGGGGACAGGAATTACACATAGAGTACTAATGATGTGAATATTAAGCAAAGTGTTTTGGGCAATTATGTTTTATAACCTATTATATTTAGAAATCAATAAATTTGTGCTTTCACTACACTTGCCTCTGTGCACCCATGAAAATCAAATACAAAGAGTGGATTCTTGTTTCAGGTCATCCCAACAGAAACATCACAGTAAAAAGGTGTTTATGATGTACAGCTTGTATGCTTGGGGTTGTCCCCTGGTGGTGGGTGTGATTGCCCTCATCATTGACAACTTTGGGAGTCCCAATCTCATAAGACCTGACTTTACAGGTGGTACTTGCTGGTTTCATGGTGAGTTCCAGATTTTGTATTTTTATAGTTAAATGCAAATGGTTTTATATGTATTTCTTATATTTGAAAATAATTTTTGTTATTGAATTGTAAAGTATTACTTCTGATAATATCAGTATTATTATTTATACAGTATTACTGTTGCAGTGCATTTAAGTTATTATTATTATTATTATTTATTTATTTATTTATTTATATACAATAAGATACATTGGGTTGTGAGTGTACATAACATTGGTGTTTGTGCATTATATTCTTGCAAAGCCGCTAACTCTGGGTATATTATATACAGTTTATTACATTCAGGTGTATTTGGTTTATTAGCATTAAAAATTATGGAAAGTTCATTGGCCTATATAGAAAAAAAACTAAACATCAGTACACACATTTAACACATATCCAAAAAAATCTCAAAAACTGTTAGTACACTTTCTAAAATCAAATATGTGCTATTTTTCCCCACTCTTCTGTCCTTTCACTATACTACTCGCTAATCTATACCTATCTTACAAACAGTTCAGTATCTGTTTATGGGGTTCAACCACTATAAATTACCTCAAAACTATCATCATCCAGCAAAAATCTGTTATCAGAACTACTGTACAATAAACTGTCTTCAGACAACACATCGCCCCTCTCTTTAAATCCCTAAACATGCTAAACGTACTCTCTATCCACACATTCTTTTGTGCTATTTACATCTTGAGGTTATCTTGAGATGATTTCGGGGCTTTAGTGTCCCCGCGACCCGGTCCTCGACCAGGCCTCCACCCCCAGGAAGCAGCCCGTGACAGCTGACTAACACCCAGGTACCTATTTTACTGCTAGGTAACAGGGGCATAGAGTGAAAGAAACTCTGCCCATTGTTTCTCGCCGGCGCCTGGGATCGAACCCAGGACCACAGGATCACAAGTCCCGCGTGCTGTCCGCTCGGCCGACAAAACAAAATGTACAAAACCTTGTTCAAAACCTTGAAACATGTACAAAACCTTGTTCCTAAATATTAATCCTGATTTGAAACTCTTCTTTGATAGATGTAATAAAACAGGTAGTCCTCCTAAGGTTTCCCAACATCAAGAAAACAGTAAAAAAAAAAGTGACCTCTCCCAAGCTACCAGAGAACCCAAAACAGAAAATGGGACAGTACGTCACTTTCACAAGCTGCTTCCATTATCTAGTACGACAATTTTTGGCCTTACATAATGTATACGAGCAAAAAGCGACCATCTTTGTATGGGGACAGGTTGAATAGAACCTATGAGCACCACACAAGAAATAAATCTCTCTCTGATATTGATAAGTCAGATTAAATCTGTGCAAACACTCCGTGCAAATAAAAAGACCCAGTCTATGGAACTCGCTCCCAAATGAATGAAAAAAAAATTCCAACCTGTGCTTTATTCTAAAGTAAAACCCAAAAATACCTAATTTAATCCTCATAGTTTCCCGCTCCAAACTCACATTGTATCTCATGCTGCTCGCTACCCCAATTTTAATACTTATGACATGCAACCTTACTAGTATAATCAATGCTATCAATTTATATTGTAGTTATTATGTTGAACTCAAATTCTGATACAAAATTCCTATTAATACCTTTACTTTTATTAGATTAAGGATCTGTCTGAAATGATATGGGTGGTAGTATTATTGGTTTGTAATTGTCTGTCAGCTGCATCGCATCCTTTATGAGCTGGAGTTACTCTTGCTTTTTTTTAAGGATATCAGGAAAAGTATGACACTCCAGAGATTTGTTGAATAGCAGAGCTATGGGTGGTGCAATGGCATGAGCAGCACTTTTATTTACCATAGTTGATATTTCACTAATGGTCCCAGCTTTGGTTGTGAGTGAATTATGGCTGTCTGTCAGGCTGACTGGCAAGAGGAATAAAGTGTTAGGATAGATGCCGGTGAGATATGTGCCTGGGTTTCTGGGATTTTTCTGGCAAGGTTAGCACCAGGGGAGCCGGTCGGCCGAGCGGACAGCACACTGGACTTGTGATCCTGTGGTCCTGGGTTCGATCCCAGGCGCCGGCGAGAAACAATGGGCAGAGTTTCTTTCACCCTATGTCCCTGTTACCTAGCAGTAAAATAGGTACCTGGGTGTTAGTCAGCTGTCACGGGCTGCTTCCTGGGGGTGGAGGCCTGGTCGAGGACCGGGCCGCGGGGACACTAAAGCCCCGAAATCATCTCAAGATAACCTCAAGATAACCAATTGATGACAAGAAGCTATTGAATTCAGTTGCTGTTTCTAAGTCTGTTGCAAGTGTGTAACTATCTTTTGAGAGTTTTACCTGCTGCTTGTTATGTGATTGTTGTTTAGATCCTGTGATGTTAGTGATGGCTTTTCATATCCTTTTCATATTTCCTTTTGCTTCTTTGAATCTACTCTCATAAAAGGAAAGTTTAGCTCTTCTTATTATACTGGTAAGTATTGATGAGTATCTTTTAACTAGTTCTTTTGAAACTAGGCCTATGTTATTTTTCATATTATTTTTTGTTAATTGCTTTAAGTATGCCACGTGCAAGCCAGAAGTTGTTTATTCTTTTGGCAGTTATTTGCTTGGTGAGGAGAGGACAGTGTGTTTTGTAGAGGCTTAGAGTTTTGGAGAGGAAGATGTTGGTTAATAAATTTGCCCTGTGCATTATTGAATTCAGATTCCCAGTATATATTGTGAAGTGCATTTATGAGATTGCCTGTTGCTGGTTTGCTGTGTCGTTTGAAGGTTAATTTCTTGGTATCTTGACATTTCATGGCAAAAAGGTCTTTCTATAATTATTATTAAATATATAATACAAACATTAATGTATTTTCAACATAGAAGTTTTGGTTCATTACAGGTAATGCAGAATACTGGCTCTACCTCTCTGGTATAATCTTTCTTCTGGTTATGGTCAACTTATTCTTTTTTGTGCACGTAGCAGTGACACTTGCACGGGACTTCAAACAGAGAAAAACAACATTTGACAACAACACAAGCCACAGCAGTAATTCAACTAAAACTAAAAGCCAGTAAGTTTGCCCCAAGTAAAGTGTGTGTTTTATTAGTTTGGGTTAACATCTTTTCTCACAGTAACTGCAAATACTGATAATAACAGCAACTCACTTATGTACTAATGCAAAAAAAAAAAAAAACACATGTGTTGTATGGTAATTAAACTATTGTTTTGAGTTTAGTTTGAAATATGTAGCCTATATTTTTAACTGAAATGTGATAAGAAGTGTCAAAACCTTTATGGGCAGAATGAATGAATCAATTTCCTCCACAGCCAGCTGAAACACTGAACACTCTATAGTCCCAGTGCATAGCCATACTTCTTCTTCACACACACTTTAAAATTACATTAAAAAAAAAAGCCAAATATCTATATACTGTATATATATTCTGCTCTTTCCTTTGTATGAATCTTATACTAGTGGAGTCTTAAAATGACCTAATTGATGAATTACCAAAAATAAAAAATATTTGTTCCATAGTCTTTGAAAACCGAACATTGATAAGCAATTTAGTGCATTTCTTTGGCATAGCGTCTAGCGTTCCTAGACTGTGCCAAGCTTGTGTGGAGTTAGGCTTTTCTTGGTTCTTGGCTACTTCTTCCCTTTTCACCTGGCAAGACCACTTTTGTGTTTGATGTGGTTAGATAGCACAGCAAGAACTAAGGAAACCTACCAAAAAGAGGCATTTCATTACATTCAATGCTGAATGTCTGGGAGGGGCCGCCCTTGGTAGCTCCTTGAGCTGTTTCATCACATACAGCAACACATATGGGCATAAGGGAGAAAGTAGCAAGGAACCCCAGAAAAGGGAGAACAGTGCCGGTTCACTTCACCCAATGCCATGCAAGCTTGAGGTGGTCTAGAAATTGTCAGTAAACAAAGGCAAGCCGCTCCAACCAGATAAAGCAAGTGATACAATCTCAACCGAACCAACTAAGAATCAGCAACCAACAGACCCCTTCAGAACCCAGGCACATATATTTAGCCAGAAAAGAAGGCAGCTATAAATGAAGAAACTTTCCATCTGGCACTGAATCACAAAACCATGGCTTCTGATTGAGAGCATAAAGCTTTCCAATCTGATATGAGAAGTGAGAACCAGAAAAAACAGCGTTGAATGTAATGAAACTCCATTTTCTGGGTGAGACCCGGAGACTCCCCAGAACCATACTGGACTGATGTGTATATATTTAACCATAGTAGCGGTTAATCGATGGAGTTCTTAACCTACCGGGCACTACAAGCCAGAACCTGGCCCCCATCATAGAGGCACAAGGAGCAATGGCCTATAAACACCCCTGTGTAGTTGGAAGCAGTCTATATCTGTCATCTACCAGGTCAGGCACCCAGAAAGGTAGGAATTCCAAAACAAACTACAGATGGTGAAAAAATTTTAACTGAAAGAGTAACGAGCAAGCAGAATTCTCCAGTCAGAAAACAAGCAAACAAGCATGATGTCACCACAGCCGCTGCGCCTCTGTCTGCGCAACTTTCCCCTCCCTGGGAGGGGGAAGGTCCCAGACCTCCCACACAGACTACCCAACCCCAGTTCAGTGGCTAAATATCAAAATCGTGAAGAAAACACCCACCGGAGGGAGAGAGGGATGCAAGAGAGCCTCCGAGTCTCACCCTGAAAATGGCGTTTCATTACATTCAACACTGGTTTTCTGTGGAGAGCCCGTTCGGCTCCCTAGAGCTACCAAACCAAATATAAAGTAACAAAGGGACTTACTCAGGAGGCGGCTGTCACTCGCTCCTCAACTCGAAGTAGAGACAACTGGCTGCAACCTGCGACCCAAGGCTACATATGCCCGAGAAGGGCCAGGAACATTAATGAGGTACCGTGCAATCAGAACCCTGTTCAACCTCCAAAAGCTGTGCCCTAATGTCAGCCCAGGACATATTACCAAAAACAGCAGCCAAAGCAGCGAACTTACATACGTCGTGAGCATGGGGTTAGATCGCAGGCTGGCTAAACCTAATAACCCTGCGGATAACCTGGGAGACCTACTCCCAGGAACATGGAAGAAGGAAAACCAGGTCAACCCAAAGTGTGTCCCCTGCCACAGAGGCTGTGGCACGGAAATAACAGCAAAGAGCCGCAACCAGACACAGACCATGATGCACTTCCGACCGAACCAACCAAGCATCAACAACCCAAGGGGCCCCTCTGGAAAGCAGCAGTCTCATTCTTCGCCAGAAAAGGAGACGGCTGCAAATGAACAAACCGACCACCACGACTGAAAGAGCAGAAACCCCTGCACAGGAGAGCATGAAGCTCTCTGACCCACCCTTCCCCAGAGAAAAAAAGAAAATTTGAATATCGCATTTTCTCATGCCTTACTCGGGTCGTGGTGACCCGTTTGCGTCTGTTTAGGGGTTCAGGTTCTGGATTACCTCGACCTCTTAACCATTTCTTTGCCAACAAGAAAAAGAGCCTTATAAAAGCATTCCTGAACCAAAGGTGCCACCACAAACCAAGGAGAAGAGAGAAAAGAGAGCACCCGGTCCAAAGACCAGGATGGCTTAGGAAGCACATAAGCAGGCCGGAGGTGAAACTACGCCTGAGAACGCATACGAAAAGAAGCAGAAGTGACATCCACCCTGAACAGAAGCTAAAGCGGCTCCGCCAGCACTGCATGATACGAGGTGACAGTATTCAGCATAAGATGACAGTCCTGGACAATCAAGAGAGAGAAAGGATAAAACCCGATCAGAAATCAGACAAGCTGTGAAGAGACAAAAAGTGCGAAAGGACCACCAGGAAACTTCATATTGCCACTGAGACGAAACCCACAGGTGGGACACAATCAGCGAAGCCACCTGATTACCATGCAAGTGGTGATAAAGCTGTGTCAAAAAGACTAGATGTGAAAATCAGAGGAGAAGATCAAACCAGCCACGTACCGGACTGGACCAATCTACTGAAAGAGGCGGAGACGCTCGGGTCCGGACACCAAGCAAGCAGCGTCTGAAACCAGGGCTAAGCTGGCCACCAAGGAGCCAACAGGACACTCTTCCCTAGTGAGTCTCCATGAAAGCCAGGACTTGGAGCATCAATTGAACAGGGGGGGAAGAGGTACAGGTAACCCCACCTTGACCAGTCCACCCGAAAGGCATCGACCCCAATAGCCTCGAACCCCAAAAAAACCAAAGAAGCAGCCAGCGACGCAGCAGCCGAAGCTAGTGATTGCAAGAACGGCGGAACGGATGTCTCCGAAGGAACCAGAATAGCTGCCGAAGCCAGATCAGACCCGACGGGTAGACCAGCACTTCGAAGTTCAGAATCCCACACAGCTGCTCGAACAACCGACGAGTGACCCTGGTGCCCTCCAAAAACAGCCAAAAGCAGGACTACAGCCACAGCAATGCTGCTGGAGGGAGAGACAAGGAAGTGGTTCCGAGAGTCCTATACAAGACCCAGACAAATTTGAACCTGAGAAGGAACCAAATGGGTCTTCCTCCAATTCACTAAGAACCCAAACCTAATGAGCTGGGAAAGCACCAAATCCCTGGTGAGCAGACACATGAACCGGCTGGAAGCCCAGACCAGCCAGTCGTCGAGATTAGCCAGAACCCGAACCCCCTAACAGACACAAATGAGTCACCACAACCCGGGTAAGGTGTGTGAAAATGCAAGGTGCCAGATTCAAGCCAAATGGAAGACAACGAAAGCAGTAAGCTCTCCGTCCTACTACAAAATAGAGCCAGTCCCTGAACCCCGGATGAATCGGGACGTGCCAATACGCGTCACGGAGGTCCAGGGACACCATCCAAGTGCCCAGCTCCAAAAGCAGCCGGACCTAGGACAGAGTAGTCATCCAAAAGGAGGGGCAAAAGACCCAGGGGTTCAGATGGGACAAGTCCAGAATGAATTGTGTTATCACCCCCGCTCTTGAAATAAGCTTGCGTCTGACACAGGATTAACTTTTTACCCAGGCCTATCATACTTCAGTTAGATCCTGGGTATGATCCTAAGACCCCTGTGATATAAAAATACAGGCACTGGTAATTTACTGAGGGAGGGACACAAACACAAGTACAAACTTATAATATTAGAACTTAAGAATTATTATATACAAAAATCTCCACTGGGCAACTATTTAAATCTACAATACTGTATGATATAATTCACTGTGTGGCTTGTTATAGTATCTTGTCTACTCAGATATTATCAAATAAGAACAGAACAAAAGACTTTATTTATTTATTTATTTATTTATTTATTTATTTATTTATATACAAGAAGGAACATTGGGATTGTGAAGATACATAGCATAGTAATTACATTTATGTAAAGCCACTAGTACGCACAGCGTTTTGGGCATGTCCTTAATCTAAGAAAATTTTAAGTAGGTAAATACTAGCAAAATTTATAAAAATGATCACAAGTACATAGCAAGAAAAAAATAAAAGATGAGAGAAATTTGTAGGTATATTAAAGCACATAGGTAGCTCAGATTGATTGCAATGACATCTTGAATGGTAGTTTAACAAAAATTAGTAGGCACAATATAGCATATGGCTAGCACATAAAAGAAGACAGCAATGAACACAATGATAAAGTTGTTTGGATTAAGTACATAAAGATTGGGAGATTGGGTAACACTAGATACAGAGTAAATTTAAAGCTCAATGTAGTAAACTACGAAGATGAAATTAGGTACTTTTGGTTTTGTTTTTGAATGAGGCAAAAGTTTGACAGCTTTTCAATTCACTAGGGAGTGAGTTCCATAGACTGGGTCCATTTATTTGCATAGAGTGTTTACACAGATTAAGTTTGACCCTGGGGGATATCAAAGAGATATTTATTTCTGGTGTGGTGATAATGGGTCCTATTACATCTGTCCAGGGAGAGTTTCAGAGCATGGTTTGCATTTAAGAACAGGGTTTTGTAAATGTAGTTGACACGAGAGAATGTGTGGAGGGAGTTAATATTTAGCATGTTAAGGGATTTAAACAAGGGAGCTGAGTGTTGTCTGAAAGCAGAGTTTGTTATTATTCTGATAGCAGATTTTTGCTGGGTGATGATGGGCTTGAGGTGGTTTGCAGTGGTTGACCCCCATGCACATACTGTATACCATAATTAAGATAGGGATAGATTAGTGCATAATATAGTGAGAGGAGAGCAGAGTTAGGAACATAATATCTGATTTTGGTGAGTATACCAACTGTTTTAGAGACTTTCTTAGTTATGTGTTGAATGTGGGTGCTGAAGTTGAGTCTCTTGTCTAGGAATAGGCCGAGAAACTTGCCATCATTTTTATTACTGATGTTAATGTTGTCTATCTGTAGCTGAACTGCATTCAATGATTTACTTCCAAATAAGATGTAGTAGGTTTTCTCTATGTTTAGTGTTAGTTTGTTAGTTGACATCCATAATTGGACTTTTTTTAATTCATTATTCCCAACATTATTTAATGTATGTGTGTTGGAGTCTGAATAGATGAGGGTAGTATCATCAGCAAACAATATAGGTTTAAGAATATTAGAGACATTAGGCAGATCATTGATATATATAAGAAATAGAAGAGGTCCCAAGATGCTGCCCTGTGGCACTCCAATGATTATTGGTAGAGTGGAAGAGGTTGTATCATTGATGGCTACACATTGGTGTCTGTCACTAAGATAGGATCAGATATAGTCCAGGGCAAGGCCTTGGATTCCATAATGCTGGAGTTTAAGTAAGAGGTAGTTGTGATTAACAGTATCAAAGGCTTTTCTTAGGTCAAGGAAGAGTCCAATCAGAAACTCATTTTTGTCAAGGGCTGAGTAGATTATGTCAAGGAGACTAATGATTGCATCATTGGTGCTCTTTTGGGACCAGAAGCCAAACTGGCAGGGGCTGAGTATGTCAATTTTTACGAGTTAGGAATAGAGCTGTTTGTAGATAATTTTTTCAAATATTTTTTATTTGAATGGGTAGGGTTGATATTGGTCTATAATTGTTTATGTCCGCCGGATTGCCTCCTACATTTGCTACACCTACATTCCGGATTGTCCGCCTACTATTGCCTCCTGGACTACAGTGACTTAACTAATAAAAGAACATTCTAGTTCCATTTCCTCACAGCTACTGACATGATCTCCACATGCAAGCCTCTGGGACACACTCCCACAGAGTTACCAAATGTCTGATAAAACTTTTAACTAGCCCAAAACATTCAGAAGTAACCACTTTCAGATAGATGTAATCATACTTCAGTATTATAATATTATGTACTTTCTGGAGTGATATTAACCCCTAATATAAAGTTAACTAAGAAATATAACAGCAGTCTCAAAAATACACAAACTGGCAACACTTTAACCAACCGACTGACACACTCTCCTCTCCTCACACGAATGATACATGTCCTAGACCCCGTTCACTCAACAGGCAAGCTCGTGATCACTCTCATACAATGGAATACAATATACAATACTGCCACACCCTATCATAAAGCACAATATGGCAGCCATATCAATATATTTATTTAGTTATATACAAGAAAGTACATTGAGGGGGTTAAGAGAACAAAGGAATGATGTTGATTTTATAATCTTGTAAAGCCACTAGCACGCATAGCGTTTCGGGCAAGTCCTTAAACTAACAGATAATTTTAAGTAGACAATTTACAGCAGAATTGACAACAAATGTTTATAGGTACTTTACAGCTTTACTTTACAGGTTCAGGTACAGGTAATTTTAAGTAGATAAATTACAGTAAAATTGGCAAAAAATATTCACAGGTCAACAAAAACAAAGATTAGAATAATACATAATAATAACGAAACACTATATATATACATAATATTTAACTTTCTATCATATAAATCATACTTGACAAACTGAGATGAGATTAATATATATTCTACCTACAGTACTGTATCTGTGAGAACCAAGTAACTACTAGGTTCGTAACAAACCGCAGATCCACACAGTCCCGTTTCAGAATTGGAAACAGGCGAGAAACCCACCTGACGGACGCCATCGTTTTGACCATGCCCAAGTGCAAACCCCCCCGAAGGAGGAGGAGCCACCCAATGTCACCGCAGGCTGGATAGAAGGGCCCGAAACACCTACGAATCATGGAACCAGGTGTGAGCAAACAGCATGAGCCTTCCCCCCCCCCCCCCCGACCCATCGCCCCATCAACGAGGCAAATTGCAAAAGGACCGATGACCCTTACAAGGGCCCAACCAATGCTCAGAGCGAGCACTGCGCCGACCAGATGTTGATGGCTCCGCAGGAGGGGTCGGCCTCGAATCTGGCACTACTGGCTGACAACGACCAAAGGAACCTTGACCCTTGGCACGATCTAAGAGCCAGGGTCCAAGCAGATTACAAAGAGTGGATGAACACCTCCTGTCGGCACACGAGGCGAGAAGAAAAGAACAGACTCTGCTTCCTTCAGTATTGGTGCAAACAGCTTCAACAATGCAGCTGACGCCGAGGTGCTGAGGCAAGTGCACTGGACACTGGCCCAGAACCCAGCTATCCATATCCTCCTGAAGCCAGTTCGAAGACAGCTCCAGCAGGGAAAAGAAGCATAAGAGCAAAGCCAAATGCCCACAGGCATGCAAATCCTCGACCACCAGGGACACCGAAAGGGACGGAACCTGCACATGAAGCTGCACCTGGCCAATATCGGGAGGAAGCACAGGGGTAAACAAGCATGCATTGAGGTGCTCAAACTTGCACCCCCAGGTAAACCTGAATGACTGTAGTCATCTCCCGCCATTCAAGTGTGCGTGTCCAATAGAACGCATGCCACGCCCCCAATGAGAAGAAAGGGCAGCCTGCCTTCTAGGAAGACTCCAGCACTTCATAAAGCACCCAGTAAGGAAAAGAGAAGCCAAACTCAAAAGCAGAAGGATCCATTATCGAGGCATAATCCGGGTCTTGCAGGAGGTAAGCCACAAGGGCCTTCCGCACCTCTCTCGGCGGGATGCAGGAAGCCGAAAACCTCTAGAAGGAGGGAACCAGGGAACCCAGAACCGAACCTGGGGAGGAGTCAAATCCCTATCAAACTCATACAGGAAGGGGGGGAAATAAGAAAACCCCTCCCCCTGTAACAACAAGCCTTGCTCCGAGGGTCCTAATTTTTTCCCAGAATACAATCCACCAAATCGTTTAACAACCAGAATGCAATAGAGTATCCATAACATCTGCAAGAAAAATGATAGGTTGGATAACAAGAATCTTTCAAACAAGAGATGCTATACCAACGATGATACTTTTCAAAATGCTAGTGCTCCCTAGAGTGGAATACTGTTGCACAATAACAGCCCCTTACAAAGCTGGAGAAATTGCTGACTTGGAGAGCATGTAGAGATAGATTCTTTACTGTTAGAATCCACTCAGTAAGCCATCTAAATTACTGGGACTGACTAAAATGCCTAAATCTGTACTCTCTAGAGTGCAGGCAGGAGAGATACATAATAATTTACACATGGAAAATATTAGAGGGGCTGGTCCCAAACCTGCGCACAGAATTAACATCACATGAGACCAGAAGGCATGGCAGGATGTGCATGATACCCCTGTTGGAAAGTAGAGGTGCAATAGGTACTTTGAGAAAGAGCTCTATCAACATCAGAGGCCCAAGACTTCAACACGCTTCCACTACACATAAGGGGCATAACTGGCCTACCCCTCACAGTGTTCAAGAGAGAACTCGATAAACACCTCCAAAGGATACCTGATCAACCAGGCTGCGAGCAGCTGCGTCCAACAGCCTAGTTGACCAGTCCAGCAACCAGGAGGTCTGGCCAGAGACTAAACCTCGGGGACCTTGACCCCTGGAATCAATGCAAAGTAACCTGCCCTTGTTAGGCCCCATTTAAATAATGGAGTTCAGTTTTGTTCAACATAAAGCACCTAGAAATTACTGTCAAGAAATACCAAGAGTAGGGAGAGGATTGGGGGGGGGACACATGATTAAAGTATATAAATGGATAACAGGGTATAACAAGAAATTATTAATAAATACTAAAAAAATCAACACAGAATAGAACATAGAACGATGAATACCATTTGGGTAAGTTTTGATTCTAAAGAGACCTGGGTAAATGCTAGCTTAGAGATTGAGTTAATGATATGTAGAACACATTATCTGGTAACATAATAAGACATTAATTATTTGCTGCATAGATTATACAGATAAAAATACTAACTTCATCTCTTTGGTCAACAAGCTTTTTGCAGTTTCCTCTATTCTTATCTTATGTTTCCTAATTTGGTATATCTATTTATGAAGCTTCTAACTGCCCCATGGTATGACTGTGTGATGATATGTGCACTGGGCCTGAATGTTTGCTGTGCCTTTTTTTAAAAGCCATGGTAAAAATATGATAAATATGATGTTGATATAATTTTCCCTGAAATAAGAAATTATTTGTTTTTTGTCCTCAGTGCCTGGCTGTATATTAAGCTTTTTATTGTCATGGGCATTGTGTGGATAGCTGAGGCCATCTCCAGTGTACATCACAGGAATACTTGCACATACTGGTACGTAAATTTATTTCAGTACAGCATACAATATTTCAACCCATCCTCCTGTTTAGATAGTACTTTCTGTGAGGAGCCCCTTCAGCTCCCTGAAGCTATCCAAACTGACATGTGCCATATTAGTTAGGTGTCATCAGTCCCTAGAGTTTTGTGCCTACCAAAGATACAGTTCGAACGTAGGTTGCAATTTTCACCAGTAGAGGGTTTGTATTGGTTTGCCTATCTTTATGGGTACTTACCCAAAAAATGGAGTTTCATTACATTTAATGCTGGTTTTTTCTAACTATGGACTAGTGTAGATAGATGTAATGGACAATTAGTAGAATTTGGTATTATTCACTTTATAGAGTAAAAAAAAGCTAGCATTCAGTGGCAGCCGAGGATTCTCTCTGGGGACTGGTTAGTCTGTGTCTGTGGTACCTTATTGTTTTTTTGTTTTGGAGCATTTTCACTTCATTGGCGGAGGTCTGCCTAACTTCAAATTTGGCTAGCCTAGATTGTGTTTGGTAGTTTTCCTGGTGCCCTGAGGTTTCAGGGCGACACTGGTTGTCAGTTTGCCTGCAACAGACAGGGTTTCCCAGCTTAGCAGACCCCAGTGCCTGGGTTTCCTGTAGGGCTCGGGAGTACCATGGACGTGTCTTTCAAGCCCTGTCTCGCCTTGTGCAATGCTGAGCGGTGTTCGTTGCCTGTGCCTCATGGTGACGATCATCCATCCTGCCTCCGTCATGCTGCCTATTAGGTCAGTGACACCTACAACCCTGAGTCTTACGAGACCTGTTCCCCATTTGTTACTCAATTTACTCATTCATTGTCTGAGGATGTTAGGGGTCAGGCAGTGGTTTGGTTGCATGCTAGGTTTTCTTTTTCTTCCAAATGGACAACTAACAGGCCAAGTTGGTTGTCCAACAAGACACATTTGCTACTTTTTCTTCCAGCCTTTGGTGGCGTTCGGTGGCTCCTCCTCAGGTCGAGGGTTCGGAGATGGCAGGACAGGCTTCTTTCCTATCTCTCTGGCGGGTCATCTTGGAGTGAGTTCACTTGGGCGTAGTCAAAATGACTTAATCTGTCAAGTGGATTTCTTGCTTGTTTCCGGTTTTGAAACGGAACTGTGCAGATCTGCGGTTCATTCTGGACTTGTCTCATCTAAATCGTTGGATTCCTTGCCCCTCCTTTTGGATGAATATGTCATTCCAGGTCCGGCTTCTTCTCAAGCCAGATGCTTGGATGATATCCCTGGACCTCAGGGATGCGTATTGGCACGCTTCAATTCATCCAGGTTTCAGAGATTGACTTAGTGTCGTGGTCATTACCTTCCATTTGGCCTGAGTCTGGCACCTCACATGTTCACACAGTTAACCCTTATGTTGCTAAGGACTATTTGGCCATTGTCACCCACAGGCGCATAACAAAAAAATAAATAAATAAAAAAAAAATAAAAAAAATTCTTCTAAACCTGTTAATTTGTGTTCCCTTAAAATATAATAAAAAAAATCGTAAGTGGCATATTTTGCCCGCTATAGGGCTGGAAAGTCTGGCAAAAAAAAGAGGCGCTGACTCAGCATGCGTCGGAGGCGGTCTGCTCAGCTCCAGCTGTCAGGCAGGAGTGGCCACAAAAAGATAATTACCTATTTATTTCAATGTCTCTGATTGATTTTTCTTCATTTTTTTGGTGTAATATTATTCAATAGTGTGTAGTGTGATATATTTATATAATAAAATGTGTGAATCATCACTGTACTCAAAATTATGGTGTGCATATTATTGATTCAATTATTGTGTTCATAAAACAATAAACAAATACAGTACTTTGTCGGTTATTACACTATATACACAGCTTATAAATACGTATCTACATGTTTTGTTCACCATGACGAACCACTAAGTTGATATTGCGAGTCAAAAAGCAGCGAGGTGTGGCCACCACATCTGCCAGTCAGCCTCTCACCGCCACTCCCTACCTCAATGACTCCTCACTCGCCCACATTCTCTTCTCACCATACTGTTTTTGCTTTTATTCACTATATTCAGACGTTATATATAAGTATCTACATGTTCTGTTCACCATAACTGTTCATCTAAACTGGTATAGTGCCCAAAGAGCATAGTGGCCACCCCTACCTATCATGACAAATCATGCAGATGTTGCCACCTCCCTCACCAAAATGGCTTCTCCCCACACTCCTTTTTCTGTTATTACACTATATATACATGTTATATATAAGTATCTACATTTGTGTTCACCATAACGAACCACTAAGTTAGTATGTTGAGTGGCAGTGGCAGCCAGTGGCAGCCAGTGGTGGGCTGCCACTGGCTGTCACTTCCTCTCTCCCTCACCTCACCTGACTCGCCAACATTCGCCTCCCACCATACTGTTTTTGGTGTTATTCACTATATACAGATGTTATATATAAGTATCTGCATGTTTTGTTCACCATAGCGAACAACTAAGCTGGTATAGTGAGTCCAGACAGTAAAAGGTGGTAACACAGAGTCAGCAGACAACGTTACCTCCCTCCCCATTAAGATTATTCCTCCCACTACAGCACTAATTATCACAACAATCCTGCTATTATCAGAATCCTGGTCATTTTTGTCACAGTCAGGGGTCTTCTGTAATACTATCATCGCTAAATAATAGCATGTACACATATATTATGGCATTTTTAGGCGATGCTGTGGTCACAAGCTGAATGGCAGTGCTGTGAGCTCATGCTGTGTGCGCCAGCCTTGGTGGCTCACTCAGTACTGAGGACCTCACACCCGGGAATGTGGCCCACGATATTTGTTCTAAATGGCATCCGTTTACAAGAGCCCTAATGAAGGTGAGGTGAACCCCGTGTATCCGCGGGCCGTTTAAATCTTGCGTAGTACTCCAACACGTCACATGACGTGATGTGCACTTTTGGGTAAGTTACTCAACACGTCTCATGACGTGTTACGCAGTTTAAGGGTTAACATGGGATGTAGTGGCCCATCCCTCTGCTAGGGATTCAGGTTTTAGCCTACCTTAATGACTGGTTGGTTTGAGCTCCCAGCCGGTCTGCTAGCCAGGGACATGGTTCTTTCCCAGCTTACCGGGTTCAGGTTCCAGGGGAATTGGTGGAAGTCCCATATAGTTCCATTTCTCTCTCTTGTGACTTTGCTCCGGCTGAAGTCCCGTCGTCTGTTGTTTCTGAGGGGGACCCGGGTCACTCTGTGGTTACTCAAGCAGCTGTGCTGGAGCCTGAACTTTGCCTTGCTGGTTTTCCCGCTGGGCAGGGTTTGGCTTTAGAGACTGTTCTGGTACATTCGGGGCAGCCCTTTTGTCACTCTCACAATCACTGGGTTTGCCCTCCGGGGTCCTTACAGCGGTTGCTGCTTCTCCGGCTTCCTCTTCGGGTTTTTTGAAGTTTGGGGCCTTGGCTCCTTCCCATTCCCTCGCTCAATGTCTTCACGGAGGCCTCGTCTCTCGACTGGGGTTTTGGGACCAGCGCTCACCAAGCCAGCCAGGGGTGTTGGACTCCGTCCTTCCAACTGGCTCACAGCACGGTGCGAAAGTTTGCGGCTGTGTAATTACCTAAGTGTAATTACCTAAGTGTAGTTACAGGATGAGAGCTACGCTCGTGGTGTCCCGTCTTCCCAGCACTCTTTGTCATATAACGCTTTGAAACTACTGATGGTCTTGGCCTCCACCACCACCTCACTTAACTTGTTCCAACCGTCTACCACTCTATAGGCGTTGCAGCAGATTCAGTTGCCTCAGGACTCGATTCATTTGGGTCCATTTGGACTGCTCTCCTGTGGTTCATAGTTTCAACTAGGTAGGGTCTCAACAGTCCATGGCTCTTTGGGGCTGGTCACATCAGGTAGCTCTTCTGCTGAGTTCTCAGGGGTTTAACTGTCCACACTATTCACATTCAGGGGGTGTACAATGTCCTTGTAGACATCTGTCTCACTTCATTCCTCTTTCCATGGAGTAGATGGTCGATGCTGACTCCTTCCTTTGACTTTGTTGAATGTTCGGGCGCCCGGAGGTGGACCTCTTCATGTCAATTTGGTCCCGGCGCCTTTCCATATACTGTACGTGGTGCCTTTCCCTGACTGTGAGACCTTCGCAGTGGATGCTTTTCGACAGGATTGGTAGAGGTGGGGGTTCCTGTACCTTCATCCTCTGGTTCAGCTGTTGCTTTGGGTTCTAGCATGGCTTGAATTCTTTCAGGGATGAGTGGTTCACCTGGCCCCATGGTGGCCAGACCGGCCTTGGTTTCAGACGCTGCTTACACGGTGTCCACACTTGAGGGTTTTTCGATGCCTCTGCCTCTTTCAGCAGGTCGGTGCCGGTGAGGTACCTTGCTGGTTTGGTTTACTCTTCCGCACTTTGTGTCTGGTTTTTCTGACGCGGGTGTATCACCATTTAAATGGCAATCAGGTAGCTTCAATGATGGTTTAACACATGTGGTCTTCCTCTCAGCGACAGTATGAAATCTCCTGGTGGTCTTTCCACCATTTCCTTTCCCTTCATAGGGTTTTGTCTGTGTCTGTTCCTGTTGTTTTGTCCTTTCTTGGTTCTTTCAGGACCGGCATCTTATGCCGAATACTGTCCTTTCTTATCGTGCAGCGCTAGCGGAGCCGCTCTAGCTTGCGTTCAGGGTGGATGTCACGTCTACTCTGATCCACAAGCTCTCTCGTAGGTTTTTCACCTCCAGCCTGCTCTGAGCCTTCTAGGTCTTTGGACCGGGTACTCTCTTTTTCTCTCTTCTCCTCAGTTTGTGGTGGCCCCTTTGGTTCAGGATTGTTTTCTCAAGGCTTTGTTTTTGTTGGCTTTAGCCTTTTAGGGTTGCTTCGCCTCTCTGAGGGGGCCAGGTTCTGGCTCATGGCCTCTGGTAGGCACTTCAACTCGAAGGATTGATGGCACCAAACTAATATGGCACATGTCAGTTTGATAGCCTCTGGGAGCCTCCAGGGCTCACCCAGAAAATGGTGGTTCATTACATTCAAAGCTGTTTTTTTATATGCACATCTAAATTTATTTTTACACTGAGAACAAATGTCCGTATGTACCATTTCTATACATAACTACAGCTGTTTACTTAAATAATTCTGTACTGTACTAGATCATTTGTGTAGAGTAAGAGTTGGTATTAATTTGGTAGAAATGCTAAAGGGAACAACTCTTACATTGGTTTATTTTCTATAGATTAGTATAACTGACCAAGACATTAAAATTTTTTTTTTTTTACTATTTTTAATAATTAAATTCTCAGTAATATAGTAATAGTTTGGTTACAGTTGTTAACTGCAGATGTTTTCCAAAAGGATTTATCAGAACAATTGTATATGTTGGTATTTAGTGCTCAGTGTGAACTTACATTTACAGGATTTTTGCTGACATATTCAATGGACTACAAGGGGTGTTCATCTTTATTGTGACTGTCTGCAACAAGGACAATATAAAAAAGGTAAGAGAGTAATTAAGGTTCATTCAATATTTGAATGAACCTTAATTAAGGTTCATTCAAATATCAATTCATTGTCATTGAAATAAGTAAAACAAAATAAAATAAATAAATGCAATGGATTCTTGAATAGACCCCATCAAATAGGTCTTGCAAAACAAGGAACACAACCCCCAAGCTGCTATGGGCTCTTTGCCCTTTGTCACCCACAGGTGCATAAAAAAAATGATTTTTTTTTTCTTATAAACCTGTTAATTTGTGTTCTTTGATCATGGGAAAAATAACAAAAATCCTATGTGGCATATTTTGGCTGCAATAAGGTGGGGAAGTCTGGCAAAAAAAAAGAGGCGTTGACAGTTCAAACGTCGGAAGCAGTCTGCTCCGCCCCAGTTGTCAGACAGGAGTTGCCATAAAGATATTATTACCTAATTATTTCAATGTCTCTGATTGATTTTTTCTTAGTTTTTTGCAGTAATATTATTCAATAGTGTGTAGTGTGATATATCTATATAATAAAATGTATGAATCATTGCTGTACTCAAAATTATGGTGTGCATATTATTTATTCAATTATTATGTTCATAAAACAATATACAAATACTTTTGCGGTTATTACACTATATACACAGGTTATATATACAAGTATCTGCATGTTTTGTTCACCATAACGAACCACTAAGTTGATATTGCGAGTCAAAAAAGCAACAAGGAGTGGCCAGCACACACCATTCAGCCAGCAACTCGCTGCCACTTCCTTCCTCAAAAACTCCTCATTCGCCAACATCCTCCTCCCACCATACTCCATACTGTTTTTGCTTTTATTCACTATATACATACATTATATATAAGAATCTACATGTTTTGTTCACTACAACTGTTCATCTAAGCTGGTATAGTGCACAGCAAAGAGCATAGTGGCCACCCTTACACAGCATGACAAGTCAGGAAGATGATGCCACCTCCATCACCAAAATGGCTTCTCCCAACACTTCTTTTGCTGTTATTACAATATATATATACACGTTATATATAAGTATCTACATTTGTGTTTACCATAGCGAACCACTAAGCTTGTATGGTGACGGCAGACAGTAACAGGTGTTCACACACAACTGATGTTCCCTCCCTCCCTCCCTCACTGATTCAAGGTCAGACACACTAACATTCCTCCTCCAAGTATACTGTTTGTGGTTTTATTACACTATATACACACATTATATATCTACATGTTTTGTTCACCATAAATGTTCAACTAAGCTGGTATAGTGCCCAAAGGACATAGTAGCCACCCTTACACAGCATGACAAGTCATGCAGATGTTGCCACCTCCCTCACCAAAATGGCTTCTCCCAACACTACTTTTGCTGTTATTACACTATTTATACACGTTATGTAACACGTTATGCTAGGTCCCCACGAGTGTACACATCCCTAGGGTTCAGCTTGAGTGTTGCTTGGTAGTTTTGGGCGCCGGTTAGCAGTACCCTGCCTGGGATTCCCTGAGCATGAGTTCCATCTCAGGACCCTGGGAAACCCCACGGGGGCACACGAGTCCAATGGATGTGGCCATGGAGTTCCCCCTCGCTTTGTGTGAATTCAAGGGTTGCTCTGTCCCCTTGTCTCAGGGTGACTTTCAATGTTTTTGCCTCCGTCACGTTGCCTATTGGGTCGGTGACACTTTCGACCTGGAGTCCTGTGAGTTATGTTGCTTGTTGGTGACTCAGTTTACCTAATCTAATGATTATCTTCTTCGGGTAAAGGCAGCGCAGGCGTTGCATGTGCGCTTTAGGTTCTTGCAACGCTCTAGGTTCATTGCTCAACCAGATGCCCCGAGGCTGCCCCATTTTGCTTATAGGGACACGGACTTGGGGGTGATGGTCGCTTCGGCCTTGGTTCAGTCCGCACCTCCTCGTCCTTCCCATGCTGTGGTTCATTCTGGTCCCCCCCCCCTCCCCTTGCTTCCGGCCCTGAAACGTCTGAGGGTTTCGGAGTCGAGGCAGGGTTTAGATGGTCTGGAGACTCGAGCAGTCTCGGGGGATGCCCCTTCTGGTGTGGCAACAGAGGCATTCGAGTCCGATCTCCCTACTGAAGCCTCTGGGCCTGACCAGTGGAACCCCTTTCGTCTGACTTTTCTGGCTGCACCAGCCTTTTCTTTTGAGGCTGGTGCTTTGGGAGATGACGCGGCCCTGGGTCCTGCGGTGGACGATTCTGGGGCTGGGAAGGATCCTTGGGGTCCTAGCCTGGCACCCAAGGCAGACTTGGGGGTCTTGGGCCCTGTTGGACCCCGCCTGGGTTTTTCTGCCCTCTGAGCGGAGCTTACTGTTACAAGGAGTGGGATTTTCTTACCCCCCCCTCTGCGTATGAGTTAGATTTGGTGTCTGCCCCTACCAGGGTTCGCTTCCGTGTTCCCTGGATGTGTCGGTTCCGTCTTTCCGGAGGTTTTCGACTTCCTGCATCCAACCTTCTGCGGTGTGGGCAGCCCTTGTGGCTTACCTCCTGCGCGACCCGGATTATGCCTCTGTTATGGATCCGTCTTCTTTCAGATTTGGGACGTTGTTTCCCTTCTGGGTTCGTTACGAGGTTCTGGAGTTGTTCTGGCTGGCGGTCTGTCCTGTGGTTGCTTTGGAGGCTTGGCATTCCTTCTGTCGTTCTCGCACACTTGAGTGGTGCGAGGCTTCGACGTTGGTTCAGGTTTTCCTTGGGGGGCGACCTTGAGCACTTCAATGAGTGCTTGTTTGCCCCTGCCCTTTCCCGGGATGTTGGCGTCATGCAGCTCCATGTGCAGGTTCCTTCCCTTTCGACTGCACAGGTTGCTGAGGACTTGCACGCCCGTGGCCTCTTGGCTTCGGCCTTGCGTTTCTTTTCCCTCCTGAAGCTGTCTTCGGACTGGTTTGAGGAGGATGTGGGGACACTTGGGGCTCGCTCGTCGTCTGCCTTGTTGAAACTCTTTGTGCTGATCCTGCGGGATGCGGTTTCGCTGTTTTCTGCTTCCCGGCTCGCATGTCGGCAGGCGGTGCTTGCTTCCTCCTTGGAATCTGCCTGGGTCTTGGCTCTTAGGATGTCCTCGCCTTTTTGTAATCTGCTTTTTGCGGAGTCTGCTGTGGCACAGTATTTGCAGACTGCTTTGGCTAGTTGTCGTCCTATGTCTGACTTGTTGGTTTTCTGGGAGTCCCAGGGGAGGTGGGGGAGGGTGCCTTCCCAGAAGGGTCATGCCAGGGCTCGAGATTCCTCTTGTTGAGGTAGGCCGCTGGTGCCAGTTTCAGGACCGGCCCCGCCTTCAGACCAGCCTTCGTCTGGTCGGCGCAGTGTTCGCTCTGTGCAGGGTTCGGGGTCTCGTAAGGGGCACCAGCCCTTTCGCGGTTCTCCCCATTGACAGGGCGAAGGGGGGGGGGGGGGGGGGAGGCTTGCACTGTTCACTCATGCCTGGTCCCACGATTTGTGGGTGTTTGGAGTCGTTTCCTTAGGCCTGAGGTGGCGTTGGGTGGCCCCTCCTCCCTCGGGGGGTTCTGGGCTGATGGCGCAGGCCTCTTCCCCTGCGCTCTGTCGAGTCGTCTTGGAGTGGGTTTGCTTGGACGACATCCCTCAGATGGGTTTCTTGTTTATTCCCAGTACCGAAACTGGACTGCGGACCTGCAGTTCATTCTGGCCTTGTCCCGTCTGAACCCCTGGGTTCATTGCCCCTCCTTCCGGATGACTACACTGTCCCAAGTTCAGCTCCTGGTGGCGCCGAGTTCTTGGATGGTGTCCCTGGACCTCCGGGATGCTTATTGGCACATCCCGATTTATCCAGGGTTCAGGGGCTGGCTCAGTTTTGTTGTGGGGCATCAAGATTACCGCTTTCGTTGTCTCCCGTTCGGGTTGAACCTGGCACCTCATGTGTTCACACACCTTACCCGCGTCGTCGTGGCCCGTCTGCGTCTTTTATGTGTTTGGGTGTTGGCCTACCTCGACGACAGGCTGGTTTGGGCTCCCAGCCGGTCCTTTTGTCTGCTAGCCAAGGATTTGGTTTTTTCTCAGCTCGCCGAGTTCGGGTTCTTGGTGAACTGGAGGAAGTCCCATCTGATTCCCTCCCAGGTTCGGACCTGGCTGGGCCTTGTGTGAGACTCTCGGACCACTTCCTTGTCTCTTCTCTCCTTTGGCTGCGGTCCCGCTTGCGCTTGTTTCTGGAGGGCTCTCGGGTCACCTGGCGGTTGCTCGAGGGTTTGTGCAGGAGCCTGAACTTTGCGATGATGGTCTACCTGCCGGGGTGGGTTTGGCTTCGTCGGCTGTTCTGGATTCTTCGGGGATGTCCCTTCTGCCTCTCTCGCAATCGCTGGGTTCGGCCTTCAGGGGCCTTGCATCGGCTGCTGCATCGCTGGGTTCCTCTTCGGGTTTTTCGGGGCTCCTTGCCTTGGCGCCTGCACAAGCCCTCGCTCAATGTGTTCACGAACACATCGTCTCATGGCTGGGGCTTTGTGACTAATGCTCACCAGGTCACTCTCATCGACTTGAGAATGGTCCAGGACGGACCGAAACGTCGTCGTCCCTTCAATTTCTAGTGTGTGGTCTGGTCTTCATGGGCCTAGTCGGGCCTGTGTCGCTTTGGGTCAGCTGTTGCCGCCGGTTGTCTCGACTTCCGGTTGAGGAGTGAACAGCGACCGCCTCCCGGGTAAGTCCCCTCTCATTTTCCTCTGTGGGTAGTTAGCTCCTGGGAGCCGAAGGGGCTCCCCCCAGAAAACCAGGGTTGATGTAATGAAACGCCATTTTCTGGGCGAGACCCGGAGGCTTTCCGGCTCCCTCCCTCCCCCGGTTGGCGGTTTTTCACATATTTTGATGTCCAGCCTCAGAACTGAAGGGTGGATGGCCGGCGCGGGGGTCTGGAGCTCCCCCTACCCCCTACCGAAGAAGGGGGAGCTGCGCAGACAGCGGTATGGCGACGTGTGACGTCATGCTCATTTGCTCATTTCTTTTTGGGGAGTTCTATCCACTTGTTCAGCTTTTTGTAGCAATTCTCACCAGAATAC